TTTGAAAATTAATTAACAGAAACCTCATTTAAAGTGAAGTAGGGAGGACAGGATGAGAAGCTCTCCCACTCTACCTCCATCATGAGGCACAACAAGGGAAACTGTAATAGGCCTTTCTAACTTCTTCTTCCCCTTTCTTTGTTTTAGCAAACTTTCACAGCCTCACCGTGGTTGCATTACCAGATTAAAATTTCTTGTTGCTCTCAAATAAACCCATTTTGCTGAAGAAATATCTGGCTGAGTTTGTTTATAGTCAACAGAGTTCACTAACAATTTGGATATGGGCTGTAAGTCCCAGCCAAGAATGATTCCTAGTCTGGGATCATGAAAAACGCTGTGAACAGCAATGCCATTTACAGAGCTGGAGATGATAAGGAAAAGGAGCAGATTCTATCCCAGGCTTCAGTTTGATATATTCTTATTAGCTACCGTACAAAGATGTCAAACAGTCTGCTAGATGTGCCCAGCACTGTGCCAGGCACTGGAACTACAATGGTATAAGAGCCAAACTATAAACTCATGGAACTCACAGTCTTCCACACAGTGATTGGGCAATGATAAGAAGTATCAGCAATGAGATGAACGATCTTAAGTATTAGATGCAAATGCAGAAGAAAACACTAAGGTTTGAGGCCTAGATTATGCCTCCCATTAGGAGTAACGTTGTTTTGAGTTACAGATATGTATTTTGGGTGAGAGTGCTACACTTTATTTATTTTGAGACTAACACACTTTAAATGATATATTAGATCTCTATTACAATATATCACACTTTTGACACATTTTAAAAAATATATGGGAATTTCCCCTAAAAGGCTTATGTTTTTGTCAATAATTAAAAAGAAGAAATAAAATCAATATTAATGTATTGATTTAGGTTGATAGGTCAATACCTGGAGATACTATAAAAACAAACAAACAATATTTTCTTTAAAAATTAATCTATAAAATGATACTCTATAAGTTTCCATTGTTTGCTTGAACACCAATCTGTAGACTTCTCTCTGTCTAAACTGAAAAAAAAGAAGATAGAATCTATACAAAATAAATTTCCATAAAGCTATATAGTATTAGAAAGAAAAATGATAAAGTTGAGGACCCAACTGGATATACCCAAAAGTAAAACATTATCAACATATCCCCTTTAAATGCAGATGTTCTAAATTATTATTCAAGAAACAGCCTCACTTATGTTTTTACTCTTCAAATACTTCTTAAATTTCTTACATCAGATTCAAAAAAGAAGGAGGAGAAGAAAATGAGTAGGAGAAGAAATAAGTAAAAGGAACATTTTTATTCCTAATACTCTTTAAAACTAAAATGCACATAGGAAGTAAATTTATCTCCTACCGAATGCAGGAACTACTGAAGCAAATTTTACTGAACACTCATCTCACATACATGAGCTCCCTTCATTATTATTATATATGCATCCAAATGTATTCAATGTGCTTACATATCCATATTTTCATTATCAAAATGCCATTTTATGCAGGCTGCTCAAGGATGAGATGGCCAGAATTGTTCTTTTCCTATAACCGTGACGTTTTCCTCCCTTTAAGATAGTCTTTTTTGATGTTCTAAGAAATCCTTTTGGTTTATGGTCCACATGTTGCCTAGACTCAAAGGTTATTCAAACAAAGCCAATTCAAACCTCATATTACTGCATAGTCCCAAGAACAAATTTCAGGTTACTTATATGCAATTTAAGTTCTGAAATGGACTACATATGGCTACAATAATGAGCCTATTACTAAAAGAAGCACTTTAGCAAAATGTATAAAACTGTATGAGATTATATATCTGCACTGTGCACACACATTATCTTTATCTTCCCAAATACCATGTGTGTCATTTCCATTTAAGAATAGTTAGGGCTGCATATGGGCAAAGCCTTCAATCAGGGCAGAATCTTCAAGTGAACACCTCTTGCCACCACTTAGCTACCCGCATCATCCTTCAGGGAGATGGGGTTCATAAAAGAGAACAACACTGGAAAAAAATAGTTAAGGCTTAGATAAGAAAATTATTCTCATTTTAAAAGTATCCTTTTACAAATATTAAAGTATCATAAAAGTACTGAATTGACAGAATGTATGGGATATAGATGTAATTAAAAGTCTTGTGATGGTTTACATTGGTTCCCTGTAAATGACTGTGAAACCATATCCTTATTTAAAAATAAAGAAAATCTGGAGAACAAAGGCTAAGTTCATTACATAATTTCCTATTAATAGTAAAGAAAAATCTGCATTTGATTAATCTCTATCAAATGAGAAAATCTGCACTGACATCTTAAATAGAAAAGTTTGCCTGTAGTTATCAACTAACTTAACATTTATTTTCTATAGATTCCTACAGATGCACCATACTGAACAATCATAAATATTAGCATGTACCTTCCATGAGAAGGCAAAATGCTAACATTCTTCATATGCCATAAAAATGCACATATAAATAACCCACCAAGCAAATTTCAATGCAAATCTATGTATCATTTGTCACCGAATAAAATTAATTTTTGTGTCTAGCACAAGGATAGTCAGTATATCTTTGAAATGGCACAAGCCTCTCTAAATTTGAAATTCATGGGGAGAATGAGCACACACTTATAAGAAGGATAATAAGTAGATAGAAATCCTGGCATCCTAGAAGAGTAAGAGAGCTTGAAGAGCCCACCAGCCCACTTCCTCATTATACATGTGAGCACTCAGTCCCAGTGTTGAAATAGCCTAGAGGGCAGTGTTGTCTACATCCCAAATTTTCAACAGTCCCCATGGAGAGGCTGTCATCATTCTGGAGTAAACCAAAGGCAATCCGATGTCAACAGTATGATTTACATAGGAACTCACTAAGTGTCCACTGTTTTATTTGCTTTTGACATTTAGATACTAACTGCAAAAATTAGTTTAACACAGAAAAAAAAAAATAATGTTACCTTTTGAATTTCTCAACCCTAGGCATTTTTTCTTTCTTTCTACATTTGGCTGCATGATGGTGACCCAGACACAAATCCCCCCACCCTTATCCTATTAAATTATATCAGAACAAAAGTCCTATGTTGTCCCTAGGGAAGGGAGGAGGTTTGGGTGGGGGAGAAGGAAAGAAAGGAGAGAAGGGAAAAAAGTGAAGGAGGCAGGCTAGAAGGGAGGGAGAACAGGAGAGAAATGATGTCTTGCTACTGCTGTTCCAGCAAGCTGGTTAATTGCATTTGTTTCATATATCTCCAAACACTCTGGTACATTAATTACATTCTGTAACACCAAGCTCTTCTGATTCCCTCTGTCACTTCCACTGAGCAATTTAATTGTATTCCTCCTCGCTCCACACCGTTTCAAAACAAAAAACAACAATAACAACAAAACTGGGCAATAATTCTGTAGTCTAATAAATAGCTTTACATGTATTTCTGGTATTGAAAAATGTAAATTCATGTCTTATGAGAACATGTTACCCAAAAGCTTATATCCAAGTCTTCTCATCCTAATACTCAAACACATTTGGGAAAAAATATGTAATACTTTTTGTAATGGAGCTGTAAATGTATTGTAAAGGGAAATATATTAAAGAAAATGCATGATGAATTATTAGATATGACTATAGATATTGTCACACTATAATTTACAGTGATTAATTCCTAAACATCTACACTTAGAACTGGGAAGAGAGAAGCAGTGTGCCCACATGAATGCCTTGCCTTCTATCGCTGGGAGGCAAAGGCACTTATGTAGCCCAGGATTGAAAACTGCCACTTGGCAATAGGTAAATTCATCTGTATTGCCTCACGTTCATAGAAAGGCTTCCTTTCTGAGTCCAATATATTGGGTTCTGTGCATCGCAGCTGCCAAGAACAAAGTTAGCTCCTACAGGCGGGCAAAAAATAGGCAGTGTCCCAAATAACGAATTTGTCCACAATACATATGCTGGAGGAAAGTTTATGTAGCAACAAGCAACTATGATGGCTCAAATATTTGGACCAACACACCTCCAATTCTTTACAAGTACAGTATTTTAAAAACTAAAGTACTACAATCCCCATTTTTGGGAGGGGGAGGTGGCAAGCTCCAGTCTTCTCCTTAGACCAATTCTTTCCATTGATGTAAAAAATTAAAAGTCCCTAGAAGGTTAATACCAAATGTCCTCTAGATTTCCTTCTTTGAACAAACAATAAAACATATTAATGATTACTTCCACTTGTCATTCAAAACAGCTCCAAAAAAAAGGGAGGATTTTGCAATTCTCTCACAAGAAACTGACATCCAAAGAAAATATACCAGGAAACCAAATCTGAACAAAAGACAGGAGAATCAGAGGCAGAAAGCTGGCTGCTTGACACACTGTCTCAACCTAGAGGGAGAGCAGCCAGCACCTGTTTCCGATCCCATTGTGTCTGCGGCAGGGGACAGAGCTGCCCCCAGCGGGCCGGGCCGGGGCTTATGTTCCCCTGGTTGGAGCCTGGTCCAGTCCCCTTCTGACAGTTTTCTCACTATGATCTAAATTCTTCATTCTGATTTCACACTAGGAGGGCACTGGCCAGCATGAAGGGGATACACACTTTTCCCGGAGAGACCTTGTCCCACATACCTAACTCAATGAACATTCAGTGCAACATCCATTACTAATTTTCTTCACTTGAGTGTCTAAGTCAAAGTTCAGATACAAGAACTAACACCAAACAGAGCAGCACCACCTTAATAGACTCCTTCAAGAGATGTCCTTTAATAATTCTCTTCTAACAAAACTAAGATCCTATCATTTATTGTCCAACTCCTCAATTAATTAAAAAACAACTGTAGGCGACTACTAATGTGTTCCACTTGCAGCTGTTTAGAAACAAAAGACTTAAAATCCATGACCAACCCCCCCCCTCAAGACCCCACACCTGACCAAAAGGGACTTATACATACACTGTCATTTCATGTAGAGCCCACATCCCCCTCAGGAAGAAAGGTGTGCATTTTTTGGGGGGGTGGGGGGAAATAAAAGCATTTTTAACTTACCATCGACGGGAACATATAAAAATCCACAGAGCAGTAGTTGTGTAAACATCAGCCGACTCATTTTGACATATTAAAAAGGATCCAGATTGTTTTAAGAAACCAATCCCAGAGAGCAAAAGTACAAAAATAAGTATCAAAAGAAGAGGTAGGTCCAAAGTTCAGACTTGCCTAGATGCTAATTAAAGTCAAGGAGGGCAGATGGCAGGGTGAGAAGGGCTTAGTGGCGTGGTCCTGGATGGGGCGCGTTCAGCTTCATCCGAATGAGCGGAGGCGCCCCGAAGGCTGCGGAGTTTCCACCCCTGCTCCCCAGATCCCCGCAAACGCAGCCCAGTCGGAGGGGTTATTGGAGTGTGCCAACCCTCCCTCTTCAGGCTCCACTGCCATCCAAAACCAAGTTCTTTCTTCGGAAGTCAGGGCGAGGACAGGAGAGGAAAAAGACCTAATTCCTAGAAAGTGTTCCACAAACTTGCCAGCGCGCTGCAGAGGGCTCGGCCTGCCGGCCCGTGTCCCCACGTCCCCGGCGGCGGCTCGGGGCCGGAGTTGCTCCCCTGAACTTCGTCCCGGGGCCTCAGAGCCGCACCCCGCGGGCGGGCGGCCTCTCCAGGCGGCAGCCTCGCCTCCTCCGCCTCTCCCCTCCCGAGAAGCCCGGGAAGCGTAGACGGCTGGAGGGGAAGGTGAACTCCGAAGTGTGGGGCGGCGGGAGGGAGGAGGAGGGCGGGGCAGGGCTGCGCTGCGGCCACCCCGCGGGCCGCCTCTGGGGACCGGGGAGCGCGGCCGGGGAGCTGGGAGCCCGGAGCCGGAGGAGGGAGCGCGGTCCGGCCCCCGCTCCGCCGCCGCCACCGCAGCGCCTCTGCTCCTCCTGCAGCCGCGGCGGCGGGAAGCCGGAGCGGAGGAGGAGGAGGCGGGAGGGAGGAGGGAGGAAGGAGAGCTGCTAGGAGCTGCCCGGGGAGGGTGGGGGCTGGTGGCGGTGAGCCCTCCACGTCCACACCCGCCACCCTGGGTGCAAGGGAGCCCTGGAGGGACGGAAATTCACAGATTGGGGCGCAGACACCGGCCCACTCCCTCCTCTCTCCGGGCCTCCCGGCCCCTCCCTCCAGCCTGGGGGGCGAGGTGGGCGCCGGCCTCCCTCCCTGGCGGCCCGGTAACGGGCAGGTAATTTTCTCAGCCAGTGATTTCAGGGGAGCCCCTCCTGATCATTCACCCCGCCTTCTCCGGGGTGCCCGCGCGTCCTGGAAACATCCCCTCCTCCGGACCCCGGGCACTGCCACAGGCCGGTAACATCACACAAGTGCACCGGGAGAAAAGGAAAGGAAACAAAACGAAACCACCTTTTGGGGGGAAAGGTTGTGTGGCGCTTCCTGAGTCATTAGAAAGGTACGAGAGAAAGGGCGGGCGGCGCACAGAGGACTCCAGCCTCGGCCGCTGGTGTTTGTTAGCCAAAATCTATGGCTCAGGAGGAGGGGGTGGCATCTCCTCGTCTGTGTCTGGGTTGCCTTCTGACCCCTGAAAGGTGGGATGTAAGGGAGTTGCACCTAAGACGCTTAAAATGGGAGCAGGAATCAGCTGGGCGGTTGTGGGGAGGGGGTACCCCAACCTCTTCCCCTCCGGAGTGAAAGAAGAATCCGAAAACGACGGATGGGGAAAGCGGAAAAGCCAGCCGAGCTAAGAGAAGCTCCAAAAGACCATATTCCAGCCCAAAGATGACAAAACCCTGAAAATGAAGGCAACCCTCCTCCACCCACCCACCCGGTGCACGCCGCTCAGGACCGGGGGTGATTAAGGAAAGACACGTTGGATCAAAGGAATGCCAGAGTCTGCGGTGCCGCCGGTGTGGCCAGTGCGGCCGGCCCACGTGTGATCACAGGCTCCCTGGTAGTTGTTTGATGCCGGTTCTGGTGATTAGAAGACCGGTTATAGGAACTCATGCCATTCAGAGCTGAGCTAAATGCTAGAAGGTGAATCTTTAGTTCCCCCTACTGGAAAATATGAGGAAAGGCTCTTTCTCTTTGATGAGGCCTTTGAGGTCTTGGAGGAAGAACCTTTTGTTTGGTGGGTGCATTTTGCTGTTGCCACTTAATTTAGCTCTCTCCCTTGCCTATTGTGCACCTGATATTGTTTTATAAAAGAAAAAGGAAAATGGCCAGCCACCTTGGAGCAATTAGGAGAGTTCTTATCTTACGGGCACCTCAGCATGCTTGGAAATTACGGTGATGAAACATCCTGCAAAAGAATCAAACAAGCCATTCTTCTTGTGAAGCATTAAGAGTAATTTCAGCACACTTTTGATTATTTAGTAATGGGGGAAAAACAAAACAAAACAATAGTGCATTAGTGTGCTGAATGAAGTTAAATCACTTGAATTTCCACAGCAATATTCCTGAAGATATTGTCTTGTCACTATAAAAAAACAACAAAAGTTCATGTGCTTCATTTTTTCTTCAAAGGAACAAGTTTAAGTTAATACCATGGTCTCAAAAAGAAAACCCAAATTCATTGGATTAAAATTTTTCTTATCTATCTGTAATACTGGAAAATAACTGATAATTCATTAAAGGTTCATTTTAAATGTTCTGATTAGGTCCAGGGATAACAAAGTCTACCTTATTCCTTTAAGACATGTACCACCACACTCAAGTCTCTATCTGTCAAATTTCCTTAGAAGTGTGCATTAAAAATATTCTGAAAATAGTCTTCCTGATGAAATAATGAAGAAATTAACAGATCATAGACTATAAATCACTTAGAGACAGGAAGGGTTATGTGTGGGATGTGCGGCACTAGGTTGGAGGAGAATGACCTACCAAATGTTGCCCTGGGGCAGAAAAATGCTGTCTCATATACTACAGCTGTTCCTGTGTAGAGTAATGACAAGTGACCTCCCCAAAAAAGTTTCTTTAAGAGACATCTCTTTGGTTATATTATTTAAGTGGTATTTGGGACCAAACATCATCAGTTTCCTACTTTACCTACTATAAGTAACAAAGAACACCACTGGTTTCAGCCTGGTGCCACCTTTTCCTCCTGTATCATCTACATTATGTAACAACTAGAGGCCCGGTGCACACAGGTAGGGTCCCTAGGCCTGGCTAGTGATCAGGGCCCATTTGTGGGGCAACCAGCGGGGCAATTGGGGGGAGGCTGCTGGCACCCACCTTGGCTGACCTGGGGCCTGTAGGTTGGGGGCAGCTCTTGCATTGAGTGTCTGCCCCCTGGTGGTCAGTGCACATCATAGCAACTGGTTGTTCCATCAGTTCTACTGTTTGGTCCATTTGCATAGGTTTTTATTATACAGGATATCTATAGAAAAGATAATTTGGATTTTATGTTCTCTGCTTTTCTTGAAAACAAGTTTATAAATGATGTTTAAAAATAATACTTTGGCCCTGGATGGTATCTCTAAGTGGTTAGAGCATTGACCACACCCTGGAGGGTTTCAGGTTCAATTCCCAGTCAAGGGCATGTACCTGGGTAGCAGGTACCATTCCTAGCCCAGCTAGGGTGCATACTGAAGGCCTCCAATTCATGTGTCTTTCTCACATGGATGTTTCTCTCTTCCTCCCCCTCCCTCCTTTCCACTCTCTGTAAAAAAGTAATGGGGAGAATATCATGAGGTGAGAATTAACAGAACAAACAAATAAACAAAATATAATTGGCAAGTGTCTCATTTGATATGAAATGTCATATCAGTTCAAGGAAAAGTGATGATTTTATAAGAATCTCATAACAAGTGATAGTTTAGGATTCTAACCAAACTCTAACTCAGCAACAATAACAGTACTGAAGTAGTAAGAGCCAACAGAAATGTAATATGGACATTAAGTCAAAGGGAAACAATTTCTTGGAGATTTCATAAGATCTGTATAGAGAAATAAGTATTTTTTTAAACTAAATTGAACAAATTTTTTGGAGCAGTTGTTTATGGAAAAAAATAATTTCTCATTCTTAAGTTCTTTTTAAGAGAATTCTTTAAATCTGAACATTCTAGTAGAAGTTAAAAATTAAATTTTAGCAATGCTTTAGCTTAAACATTATTTTTAGGTTTTCATTAAGACAAAAGGCCAGAAATGGCTTAGAAAAGTGAAGCCCTACCATGGCCTAATCACATGGTTTAAGAAAGAAAACTAAATGGGCAGTTGGCTTCATTATTTTTCATACTATAAATTATGTTTTCTTCTTTAAACAGTCACCAAATAGGGAAATGTACATGAAAATCTAAGCTTTTTTATGCAAAACTTGGAATGGTATTATGGGCTCAAAATGTGAATACCAAATAAATGTATAATTCATCTGAAGATAATGTTTGTAAGAGACTATAATTGACCCTAATTTGGGGAAGGTGGTCAAATGGCCTTCTTTATCATAACACTTCTGAGTTGGCATTTGTGGAGGACCAAAAAAATATCATCTGAAGACAATCTTCACAATATTGGATATTTCTTTTCCATACCATAATCCCCAAGGATATAGTATAAATCAAGCAACCCAGTCCACCATTTTTGTTCTTTCTAACATGCTCTCTTAACTGAAGTTGGTATATATAGGCAAATCAAAGGTTTGGTTCACGATAATTTAATATCTACTATCGGTTACTATATTTCAGGGGTTGTTTGGTTTAAAGAAAAATTCATTATATCATTTGATTCCTGTAAGAGCCTTATGTGATTGATATTATTCCTATTGTACAGATGAGAAAACTGGAGGCTAGCTATCTAACCTAAGTTAATAAAATGTGCAATCTTCCTTTGAGTCCAAATATGACTATATAATCCATGTTCCTAAATGTCAGGCTATCTTCCACATCATAGAAGTACTATAACACTTTAATGAATTGCTTTGACTGATCAATTTAAGAGAACTTCTGAAAAAAACAGAGTATAAAGAAATATGTGATCAGTTTTTGCCTTCAAAATTGAAGAATCTTTTAAAGCCCCCAAATCACCACTTATTATTTATTCAGTTTGAATTTTCCAGTAAGATTGCCTTACTGTACTATATAGAAACACCATAATAGCACCGTATTTAGATGAAATGTATGGGTCATTATCTACAAAAGGACACAGGACAATAAAAATAAGTGAAGCGTTAAAAGTTCACATCAGAGGAGGATGACTCATTCCCTCCTAGGTGTTTTTTTTATTTTTTTTAATTACACTCCACCTTGTTCCAAAATTATTTGAGTGAGTCAAGATAAACTGCATTTGTTCTTTTGAAATATGTTCTAAATATCTGATTTCAATCAACTCATTTCCAAGTATTCATTTAATCCTTTTCTCTGAGTAATAAGTATGCCTATAAATGTACCTATATATGATTAGTAATTTTTGTACAATACCTGGAATTATTAAAATATTTTATTTTTAGAGATGTGAGATTTAAGTTGACTAAAATGTAGCAATCTTTCACAAAAATATTTTCTGCCAAATTCCATCACTTGAGATCAAAGGATTTTTCTTTTCTTAAAATTAGTGTGGAAAATCATTTTCTAACTTGATTGAGAAGTTCAGTGATACTTTCAAAGTTAACACAGCTTTTGAATAAATAAAGTATAATAAGTCATAATATCTAGGCATAATTTTTTCAAGTGTGTATACATTAGAACTTAAAATTATTTTTGTATGTTTTTATTGATTTCAGAGAGAAAGGGAGAGGGAGAGAGATATAGAAACACCCATGATGAGAGAGAACCATGGATCGGCTGCCTCCTGCAAGTCCCCTACTGGGGAAAGAGCCC